TTATTTAAAAAATGATTAAGGAATTATGCAAGTGTAATAAAGTAATTTCAGATATTATGTATATGAAAAATGTGCAAAAGAGATAAAATAAAAATTTACAATTTTAATCTTGAAAATTATTTTAAATAACCCACATTCGTATAATGCATAAATTTTCTAAAGTAAAATCACGTCTCTTTGGTTTATGTTTTGGCATTTTATTTATAATTATATCTCGTTAGTGATAGAGAGAGGCGATGTCTCGAAATGGAATAGGATTATGAGAACAGTCAAAACAGGAAAATTTAATTCCTAATAATAGGAACGCGGATCGGGCTTTTCTCGAAATATTTTGTTTATATCTCGAATTCTTTATTTTTCTGAAACCCTTCCTACATTCTTTACTATTTTTTTAAATTTTCTATAATTTTCTTGTTCATTTGATTAAATATGGACAAAAATGTGTAAATTAAGGTAAGATGTGTAATAATATGTAAAACCCTTTAAATATTTACAAGTATGTAAAATAAAACACGGCTTATTTGCTTCTATTGTAAATACCATGAAACAGGAAATAAGTGTCAAAAACTGTGTACGAGGCTCAGAAAAAATTATGTTAATGGATATAAATCCGTGAAAAATTATAATTGTCTTCATTAAAATGTATTGGTTGTAATTAGCTGTGTATGACCTAATGTAATGAACGAGAACCTCATCTAAGGATAAAAATAAAACTGATACTAGTTTAAGTTTGCAGAATATAATGATGTACTGTAGCCAGATTGACACATTAAACCAAAGAAAAACGAGATGTAGGGTTGACGTTTCGATGCTAGATATGCTGGCTGATGGATGGCTGGGATTTGTCAAGTGGACGGCTGACAGACGGACTTCGACTACCTGAAGAAGCCTTGCGTTGCAGGAACTGAGAATCGTATCCTGTTGACAGATCGGCCATTCGGCGAAACGCTTTCTATATGCAAATCTGTGGTTCCTTACTTTTCCGGAATAAGCCATTAGATAATCTATTCGCACGATAAACCGTCAACTGTCCGTGATTATCTGATGTGTTTCAACGTAACGCACCGAAGCGTTTCACGCCCGGGACGCTTCTAAATTAAAATAACTATCTCAGAATGGATGTATTCTCTCTAACCTTGTGAAAATTTGTCGCCTCGATGGGCAACTAAGCGGACGAAAAAATGAACAGCACACTTGATGGGAAAAAATATTTCTAATAGTTCCACTTTTCCAACAAACTTTTAATTCAAACTAAACGGACAAAATATTAGAACCGGATGTTTTTATTGAACAGCTTATAGCACAATAACACATTTGATGCGAACAAAAGACAGGGTAAAGACCATAATAGATATTGTATTACAATTCGATTAAATTTGGTGGTAATCACAGCAAACGTTATAATTTATTTAATAGGAACCTTATGTGGGGAGGAAATTTGTTTCATATTAAAAGCACGACGACCAACATGGATGATCGGAAGTGATATACATATTACATAAAGCCCTTTCAACGCTGAGATACAAATCTCCGTTGCATTAAGGACGTTTGTTGGTTACGAATAATTTTTCTTCACGTGAAGTAAAAAGATTGTAAACTAAAATTCATCATTTCGTTGGCAACTAATGACTCAATATAATTGAAAACAGCCTTAAATGTTATAATTTTGCCTTAAGAAATCGGGTAAGGCCATTGTGAAGGAAAAGAAAATATTTTTCGTAGTAGTAAAAAAAAAAAATTCTAAAAGTAGCAACATAAAACAGCATTTAACCTTTCAAGGCACAAAATACCAAATTCCACCACTAGCAATTTTTCCGTCCATTTTTCACTTGAAAAATCCGTCGAAATATATCAGGTATATATCGTTCCACTATCAACTCGGAAATTCTATTTGAAGAACTATTTGAAAAAATAAGTTTTAGTAGTGTTCATATTAGCTAACTTTGTGAGTTATTTAATCGTTTAAAAGTTTTGATGAAAGAGATATGTTCTTTGAAATCTTGACAAACAAACCCAGTGTTTTTTTTTCTTTCACTGACTTCATCCCTGATTTTTTTTTAATACAAAAAACAATTATTGCCAAGGGAATTTCACGGGAAAATATTGAAGAGACTGATTTGAAGTCGTCCAGTGAACTCGTTCGGTGACACATTTATTTTATGATCACTTTCTTTATCGTTTCCGTAAAGTATTGTTCGAATTGATGAACTGTTATGTTTAAACTTACCTAATTAAACCTAATTTTCAATATATATAATTAACTTTTATGCTGCAGTTGTAAGTTTTTTCTTATGTAAATTTAATTTCTACACGAATACTTTCAGCTCGCGGAAAGCACAATATGTATTTTAACAATATCTTGAACATATAAGGCATTAATATTGGATATAATATTTCCTATTTGAGTTTGAGTATTTCCTTTGATTTATTAAAATCCTTAAGAAAATGATAAAGGTATATGTAAGGATAACTTCACTGAAGCGAATACGTTTTAAACGCCATAGAAAATGTTCTTAGTTGTAAAAAATTATTTCGAAAATTATCACCACAGAACAGTTTAACCATTGCAAATGCAAAATTCATCACTAGCAAGTTTGAATCTATTTGTCACTTAAAATCTAACAGTTACAGTGCGAAATCAGGTAGATATCATTCCACTATCAACTCGGAAATTCTCTTTGAAACAATAAGTTTTAGTAGCGTAAGTACTTGTTCATATTAGTTAACTTTGTGAATTATTACTAATTGTTTAAAAGTTTCGATGATGAGGACATATTCTTTGAAATCTTGGCAAAGAAACTGAGTTTTCTTTTCTTTCACCGACTTTATCCCTAGATTTTTTTTCGTACAAAAAGCAATTATTGACGCAGTAATTCCTCGTGTGCGAACTGAAAATAATTTCTAAAAATATCAACACAAAAGATAGTTGAGCCGTTGAAAGGTACAAACGCTAAATTTCAACTCTAGCAATTTTTCAATCCATTTTTCAGTTGAAAAATCCTTCGAAATTTATCAGGTACTACGAAATCAAGTAGATATCGTTGCAACATCAACTCGGAAAATTCACTTTGAAACAATAGGTTTTATAGTGCAAGTACATGTTCATATTAGTTAACTTTGTGAGTTAAAATCGTTTAAAAGTCTTGAGCTCTTGATGAGGGGGATATTTTCTTTGAAATAATGACATAGAAACTTGAGTGTTTTCTTTTCTTTCACACTGACTTCAGCCCGGATTGTTTTTTATACAAAACGCAATTATTGACATGGGAATTCTTCAAGTGCTATCTGAACATAAATAAAGAAGGAAATATTGCAGAAAGTCTTGATGAAGAGGATATATTCCTTGAAATCTTGACAGATGAACTTTTTTCTTTTATTTCACATTGACTTTATCCGTGATTTTTTTAAATACAAAAAACAATTATTGACAGGTAATTCCTCGTGTGCTATCTGAAAATAAATAACGAAGAAAATATTGCAGAGACTGATTTGAAGTCGTCCAGTGACCTCGTTCGGTGACAGACATTTATTTTGTGATAACTTCCCTTATCGTCTCCACTGTAAAGTATTGTTTGAATTGATGAACTGTTATGTTTACTGACTAAACATAATTATCAATATATTCAATTAACTTTTAAGCTGCAGCTGTAAATTTTTCTTATGTAAATTTCATTTCTACACGAGTAATTTCAGCTAACCGAAAGCACAATATATTTTAACAGTTAATACTGAATATTTCCTATTTATTTTGATTTATAAGAATCCTTAGGGAACTTAAAAATTTATAAGTAAGGATAACTTCACTGAAACAAATGCGTTTTAAACGTCTTGAATAATATGTTTATCTAATGTTTGATAAGAGTGTTTACATTAACGAGTATAAATAGAAAAATATTTTACCTTGGACACTTCACGAATTCTGTATTCGGCCAGTGACACGATTAAATTATAGTTCACCAATGTCATAAATGATCACATTCACAAAAACCGATCCGTGGTTAACAATTTTTATTATGTGTGGTGATTAGTGACCGTTAATCGGTCTGAATAATTAATTTTTATTATATTTTCACATCGTGTTATATTCAGAAGATAGGCATTTATATGCAACAAGGGGTTTTTCTACAGTGTTTTATATAATCTATGAAATTCCTTAGCTCTTCCAGTCGTAATAGTTTTTTTTAATAACAAATTGAAAAAAAAAAACACTATTTTTTAAGACAGCCGTTGTTGACTATTGTGGTGTTTTTGAACTTGTGTTTTTTTTACAATTTCTAACTAAAATACAAACCGCCAAAATCCGTCAATAACTAAAGAAGAATTCAAGAACTAATTTAAAAGAAAAAATATTTTTTAAGAGTACCCCGTAAGATTTTCTCCATGAAAACTAAATTCACCAAACAAAAATCAATTTGTGTATACAAATAAAATTTAGGTGAGGGAGTTGAAGATGTTTACTGAAATTTTGAGGCAAAACTTATAGAAAATGTTTTTCTTGAGTTACGAAATTAAACCGGTTTAATTTGGATGAGCCACTATGAACTTTGTATTTTTCTATACTCGCAAATATTTTACGAAATATGCCCCCGGGTAATTAACAGTCTTGATGATTGCGAACCGGCGAGTTGAATGAGATTTTATTCGAATTACGAAATTGTATGTTGGATGAAAGAATGTTGAAAGTAGGAGGGATGCATGGGAGGTTGGCCAGGTCGTCTGACAGCCCGCGGCCTTCTGTGATCAATGTCGCGGCCGATCCTCATCATGAGGGAAAACAATGCTTAACCCAGTGACATGCTGGCCGCGTAGTTCGGCCACCCTTCACGCTATTGATTTACGTTAAACAGCTGTCGGCCGACAGGCCTACCTGTCATCACTACATGCACCTCTAAAGAACAGCCCTCACGGACACGTTAAATTTTGGTCAAGCCAAGGTCCGAATTTTGTCAAAAACGCTCGCTTAGAATATATAGTTAAATTTTCTATGTATAAATAAATACCTTGATTGCGAATTGGTTCTCTTTGTCGAGGAGGAACTCCATGGATTTGGCCCGGTGGTCGACGGGCTGGTCCGGTTGGGGGCATGGGACCAGATGGGTCCTCCCGTCGCCCAGGTTTAGGAGAGACCTCGCCTTTTTGTTACATCCTGTGTCCGAGTCGAGGTCAGTTTCGAGAAGCCCTGTCTTCGGCCCGCTCGACATGACACTGCCGCCTCCGATTCGAACCGGCTCCTCGCGCTTGCGCTCGTTCCTGGGGGAAGGAAGGGGCGGCAGTGGGGGCTTGGTCGTCTCTTCTTCCTCCGGAGGCGGGTGCAGCGGGATTATCCGTACGTCTTCGCGCCGATCCTCGGCTGGCGACGCGGGAGACGGGGGCGGCGGCGGCTGGAGCCTGGCGGCAGTCTCTTTCTTCAAGTCCTTTCGTTTTTTCTCCCTACCGCTGAGACGGCGGAACGAGAACCGCTGAAAGAAACCACCAATCCCCGACTTGTTTTTTGGCGGACGGTTCTCCATAGAGGCACGGGACACTACTGGATTTTGTTGCTGTTGAGCTCTTGATGGAGGAGATGGAGGTAGTGGTGGAAGACCTCTATCCCCTCCTCTGACCGGCCTCAACGGCTGTGAATTCTCTTTCACTTCCTGGGGCCTTTCTTTTCGTGCGTCTAAATCTACCTCGTCGGCCCACTCGCATGGTTCGGATTCTTTCCATTGCACTTCTGATACGACCGGACTGAAATGGACACCCTTGCTGCTGCCGTTGTGGGCGCCGGTCAGATTGACGAAGCTGGTCGAATATAGGCAATTGACGCTCCTCCTGCTTCCGCTTTGAGGCGTGGCCGTTAAATTGACGAAGCTGGTTGTAATTTGTATATTACTCCCTTTCGATTTCGTTTTCCTCAAGTTTCTCTTGTTTTCCTGCCTGAAACCTTCTTTGAAACTCTGCGCCCTACTGAGGGCAGTGGCTTTGTGTCCGGGAAACGTGAGCTCAACCTCGTTATCGTCGAGAATCACGAATTCCTCCGTGTAGAGGTTGGGGGTACTCACGACTGGATGTTTCGAATTCATCTTGGCCAAATCCTTGTTTTCCGGGATAACTAGAAATTCGTCTTCATCCCTAATAGCGAAAGTCAGGAGAGATGTCGTCGATGTTATAGGTCTGGTATCGGCGAGAACGCAATTCTTCAAATTCAACTCGTTCTTGTTATCCCGATGATCGCACTGAGACTGAGTCCCTTCGGATAAATCTGGGGCGCTCTGCCAGCCGCTAAAGTTAGGCCCGACGTCACTCCACCCACCGCCATCCTGAGCTTCATCCCCGTGTATTTTTACCTCACTAACGCGGTCGGAGCTGTAGCTGGAGCTGTCGTCGTCGTCGTCAATTTCCGCGATTGTGAAAACCCCCGAGCTAGACGCCCGTCGCAAGATGTGTTCGCCGAAGCCAGAGTCCTCGCTGAGGTTTTCCGCCGATCTCTGACCCCTCGCGGTTTTCTTCTCTTTCGGTGGTTCCGGTTTTTCCATTACGTTATCGTTTAAGGTCGGTTCAGTAAGGCACTCTACCGTTTTATACAACCCTCTTTGAGGTGTCACAGCTTCCACGTCTTCTTCTACAAGTATAGAATTATTGTTCAGACTTTGTGAAAATTCTCCGCTCAAGAAATTATTGTCTTGTTTCTCTTGGCACATGATCAAACTGTCATAACTGCGGTGGGATCGCAAAGAAGATTTGTAACTCTCGTTTCCACTCCTGGAAGAGTAGGATCTCGTCAAATTGTCGTCGTCAGAGCTGGTTATCTCCGAGCTGCTCGAACATGATGAACTCAAGCTAGAAGCTTCGTCTAAGCTGTCGGGCGAACCGGAAAACCGCCACCGTGAAGTTTCCAACGAATCAAAACTGAAGCTTGATGTGAGAGAAGGCGAATGGACGAACTGCTCAGAAGAAGCCGAAGCCCTGAAGACGGTATCGCACTGTTTTTCCAGCGCTTCGAACTGTAGGAGACTGCTCGATCTGCACGTGAACGGCGGGAGGATGAGGTCGTCCCTTTCGTCCTCTTCGTCGTCTTGTACGCCGGGGTCGTTGTTGAACAGCCGTCTCCTCCTTTTCTTGGGAACGGCCAAATCTCTTTCCGACCCGCTCCACTCGACGGAGTTAAGATTCTGCTTACCTGAAACATACCAAGTACAAAGTAAAAATTACAAAAACCGAACAGTAAATGTACTAATACACGAGATGAGGATAGCATTCTGTGAAAAATGGCCTGCCCTTTTGTATAGAACCGCTATCGAATAAAACATGATGCCTAGCGGTTGGACCGTTATTCCAAAATCGATTTAGGGCCATAACCAACTTGGAATTTCGAATAATAAGACACTAATACATGGACAGAGACCATCTGTGTAAGTTGACTTGTAGCCATTAATTTACATACATTACACACACATATATAACAAGTAATGAGATCAATAGTTAAACTGTACAACTAAAAAATTTCTATGTCTGCCAATCCTAAGTTTAAAAGTTACATTCATAAAATTAAAACTATTGTTATCAGAAATATAATGATTGTCCCCTAGTTCTGAATTCAGATCCCAGTACAAAATATGGAAAAGAGATTGTTGCACTTTTTGCCTTTGACTATTTTTAAATTCTTGCTTAAATTTTTTCAATAACAAATTTACTTTTTCTTTATTTAAATAATCAAAAGCTCCAAGCTGCAGACGATCACAAGTACTCACGAGCTCTTTGTACCATAGTTTATTCTTTCGAATTACCTCTTTGGCTAAAATGTTTGCCACTCTAAAATCCGGTAATGATAACACTTTTCCAGTGCACTTATAGTGCACACAGATAGGAGTTTTGAATATTGGATAATAATTATGCCAACAGTGTCAAATTCAAATCGTCAAATTCGCTATTTAAAAACAATCATCGAAAATAAATTTGGACCGGAAGATGGGGAGATCTGCAATTAAGCAAACAATGAGAAATACTGACAGTACAATTATTATACTGTCAATAATATAGGCTAATGAAGCAATGAAATTATTAATTTTTAATATATACAAATATTTCCCCTGAAGATGACCCGAATAAAGGTCGAAACGTTAATGAAAAACGTGTTTTTCTAAACAATCCTTTTTCAATACAGTAGTTATTTTAACTTTTTTAAGTTTTACAGGTACCACTCGAGGTATTAGTTGAGAGTTGAGGGTGATATATTCGACTATTACTACTTGATCTCCGATAGGTTCACACCAAAAATTGTACGTGTTGATGCAAAAACACAACTTTTTATAACTGGAAAACCTCTAAAATATAAAAAAAAAATTCAAAAAAGTAGTTTAAATGTTTTTTAGTTTTACTTTCTTGAACGCTCCTCACGAAGCCAATAAATTTTTAAATACCGTCCACTAAAAAACACACAAATATATACAAGGATGTAACAGATTTTGTGGCTTGTCAATTAATTAAAACATCATTTCAACTAATTTGATGCACATTTCATAATACAGTATGTCATTATAAATAGCATTAAATATATTTAATACGTGCTTAATTGTAATGAGTAATGGCAATGAATCAAAAGTGTCATCATTTTAAATGTCTATATTATATAGAAGAAAAAATATTATATTTTTGTTGAAGGGTGATTTTCATTACACACCTTTAGCCATTATGATATTTTTTCTATTCCTATTGTATTATTGTATTGTGTTGTTTCGATATTATCGATACAGCAGGAAACAATGGTACAGTTGCACAGACGTCACATTTCATCATTTCAACCGAAAAACTGTTATTCGAAACTCGATTGTTTACTCCAAACAACCTGCCTAAAGTTACAATATAAAACCTGCATGGCCCTTTATTCAAAGGATGGTATGAATAAAAGATTAGTTCGAGCTTTCGTCATTCTCTGAACTCTTCAATCATTGATGACCATGAAGATCGTTTTGATGAATATTTAAGTAAAGTATGAAGTATGTTTTTCAAATGAAGTATGGTGGCTTTTCTGGGCAATATCACGAATTAAATAAAACACATTACAAAAATATTCTTGCGATCATATGGAGAGTGTTTTTACGGTTTATACCAAGTTTTAAACAGCTAATGAGGTTGATAAGGGATAGGAATAGCTAGAGATCTGGGCTAGGCCGACGACGCGATACGAAACTTTTGTGTTCAATAGCATTTTTCAAATAATTCTACTAGTTTTCTAAAAAGATAGAAGAGGAGTCCTTTATGGTTCACGGGTCATTGCACCCACTGGTTCTCCCATACATCGAGATTTAACAACCTAAACAAGAAGCTAGGGGCGTAAACGCGTCCGTCCCAGCTCAAAACACAATATTTATCACTGAGAAATAACTTATGCTGCGTTTTTTACCTCCCTCGAGCAAGGAATGTGTATTGCGTCGAGATTATTTCCGTCTAAAGGAACGGCTGCTTCATGGCTAATCGGTGTGAAAACGAACAGAACTGTTTACCTCTCGGACGATACAAGTTCGCCAAACAAACAATCCGGCAATCATGTTGAACTCCAAACGGCATTTCTGGGCCGAAAAGGATTCGATCATGCCCGATTATAAACTAAAAGTTTGAACATTATTCTATTCGAATGAGAAAATAACCTTGCCGATTCTAGAGGATGCTTGTTTTTAAAACATTCGATCGCATATTTGTGGAACGTAGATCAAATGAAATGGCGCTTTATGTTCGTTGAATTTGCCACACTGAGTGGCACCAAATCATGGGTCAAAAATTCAAGATCTTTTAGGAAATGGAACGCTGAGTAAAAAAAGGTCCTATAAACCTGGGTCCTGAAAGCCTTCAGTACAAAGCTAGGGTTAAAAACCCCAAGAAAAACACGATTTCTGACCTTATTTGTGAAATAGTAAATAAACCGCTACTACTACCATAAAACTACTCGAAACAACATTCATTGTGCCTTTATTTCAGTGTCGAATGAGTTTAAAACATTGGTTGACAATTATAATTTTCGGGATTTTTCAAAGTTATGAAAGAGAGGGGCACACAAAATTCACCGTTTCTGACATTTTATCGATCAATTTAAAAATGCACCTCTACTAAAAAATATTCCGAAACCAACCTTTTCGGACATGGAATTCTCCGTCAAATTGAGTGTAGTTTGAATTTCACGTAAAAAGTACAAAAACAAGTGGCTAGAGTTTTTAGCTGATGGCTATTAGCTCCAAAGGAGGAAGGTGTATTGAACAGTGATTAACAATTAATTCTATTAACAAACTTTTGTAATGGTCTTTTAAAATAATAGAATGGAATATTTATTAAAAGGTGCGTACAGTCAAAAATTTTTAAGTAACCCCTTCGTATTTATCGTACATTAATTCACCCAATGTGGGGGGGGGATTTGTGTGAAAAGTAATAAAGATTCCAGTTTTGGCAAATTTATTACTTTACACAAATCAAAAATCCGTTTTCTAATGGGTATCCCACATTGAGTGAAGTAATGTACGATAAATACGAACTTTTGGGTTACTTAACAATTTTTGAAACTGTACGCATCGTTGAATAAATATTACATTTTATTCTTTTACAAAAAAAAAAAAAAACATTACAGAAGTTTGTTAATAATAAAATTAATTATTTCAATTAATTACTCTTTTTAAGATGTAAGGTTGAGATGAAGTCAAGAGTGTCACGAGTGGGATTCGAACCCACGACCTTTTCTGCTCAATACGCCGCTGCTCTAACCACTTGAGCTATCGTGACTTCATCTTTTTCATCTCAATCAAACCCTCCCATAAAAAGATTAATTAATTGAAATAATTAATATGGTCAATTACACCACTAAACTAAATAAAAAAATAAAATTAATTAATCACGGTTAAATGTACCCTCATCGAGCTGATGATATCTTCGCTCCTTTTAGGTGAAGTCCAAACTACGCTCGTTTCCCCTAATTTGACGGAGAATTCCATCACCGATAAGGTTTGTTTCGGAACATTTTTTAGTAAGGGTGCAACTCATGAATTTATCAACAAAAATGTCAGAAACGGTTAATATTTTGTGCCCCTCCCCCTCTTAACTTTGAAAAATCCCGAAAATTATAATTCTCAACCAATCAGGCTGGTTTTAGTCTCATTCGACTCTGAAATAAATGCACAATGAATGATATTTCGAGTTGTTTTATGGTTGTAGTAGCGGTTTATTTATTATTTTACAAATAAGGACAGAAAACGTGTTTTTTCTTGTTTTTTTAACCCCAGCTCTGTACTGAAGGCTTTCCGGAACCAGGTTTATAGGACCGTTTTTGCTCAATTTTCGACCCATGATTTGGGGCCACTCAGTATATACTTATTAGGCGGTATGCGAATTGCCATCATCATCAATAATTGTCTCAATTATGTAACTACCAACCTTTCAATCTCCATCATGGCTGTACAGACAAAAGAGCATTAACATTTGTTAATAAACGCCAATTAGGAAGTTTTATACCTTTGAACTAGAAGAATACAACCTTGATACCACCTAATTAATTAATCAATCTTTGTTGGCGAAACCGCAATAACGCAACACAATACTTAACATGCCAATTTTCGACTAGTATAGTAGAAAAAACTAACACAAATTAAGAATAATTGATGATTTGTTCTCTACAACTATTTCTACATCTTAGGTCCCGTTTGAATTTCACTTGATTAGAATTCGTGTTCTGGAAAGTCGTCGTCTCAGTCAGGGATTATTCATCGGAATGTTTACTTTCGACTTATGATTAACAAGTGTTATAAAGGAATTTCTATTCGTCGTAGCGAATACATTTTCCCATTGTGAATGAATTTAGTAAAAAATATAATTGAATTTTCTTTCTGGCCGAACAGAACTCCCTTGTTAAAAATCGGGCGTATTCTCCAGCAGGCTCTACGACCAGCCCAAAACCAACCAGAAATTATTTTCGTTGACAAAGGTCTCAAAGTTAAAAATGCCCAAAAATAAATAAGATAAGAAAAAGAAAACGACTGTAAGGCCTAGTACGCCTGGAATTCTTTGTTCGGACACTCGGATACATGTCGCAGACTCTGCCTCGCAACATTGTTGCTCCGGAAATTGTGTCCGCATCTAATTTGAATCTGAGCCATGTCAAACGAGACCGCGCTCTCGGGGATTGCTGTACCACTTTACGTA